CATATAATAAAATAAATAATATAATGAAATTAAGATAGATTTAAAAATCATAAAAGGAATGACCCTATGAAATGACTACTTGTTTAATTCATACAATACTTTAGAAAACACCGTAAAAATGTTTTACATTTAAATTTCTAGTTCTATATACACAAGTACTCATCATAATAAGCGAAATAATCCTAGGATACTTTATTGTAGGTTATTTGTTTTGCTTCCTATATTTACATTGCCGCAATCAGCATTAATATTGATTGGGAATACCCTCTATATGACTTTACTTATCAGAAAATAAAATCTAATAGTTAGACAACTTTCAAGATTCCATTTGATGCTATACAACTAAATCTGAATTTATTTATAGAAATATTTATAGCTTTACATTTTTAAATAGAGTTGCCAACTAATTGAAAAGATGAATATTTGATTACAGCGCGTCTACTACCTCTCGCTGGAGTACTACATGGGCCGTTCTCTGACCAACACGATGATCAATTTGGGCATTCAAAGTGAGTGCGAGGAGGCCATGTATCAGCTGGGTCTGGACATTGAGAACCTCGAGGAGATGGAGGAAGATGCTGGCTTGGGCAATGGTGGTCTGGGTCGTTTAGCGGCCTGTTTCCTCGACTCGATGGCTACGCTGGGTCTGGCTGCCTATGGTTACGGCATCCGCTATGAGTACGGTATCTTTGCCCAAAAGATTCGCAACGGCGAGCAGGTGGAGGAGCCCGATGATTGGTTGCGCTTCGGCAATCCCTGGGAGAAGGCGCGCCCCGAGTTCATGTTGCCCATTAACTTTTATGGCCGTGTGATCGATACACCCGAGGGCAAGAAGTGGGTGGACACGCAGAAGGTCTATGCCATGCCCTACGACAATCCCATACCCGGCTACAACAACAACCATGTGAACACGCTGCGTCTGTGGTCCGCCAAGTCGCCCGTGGACTTCAACCTGAAGTTCTGTAAGTAGTCTGCATATATAGTTCCATGAAGACCTTCTACTAATACTTTTCGCATTCCTCAAACAGTCAACGATGGTGACTACATTCAGGCCGTGCTGGATCGTAACCTTGCCGAGAACATCTCTCGTGTGCTGTATCCCAACGATAACTTCTTCGAGGGCAAGGAGCTGCGTCTTAAACAGGAGTACTTCATGTGCGCTGCCACCTTGCAGGACATCATCCGCAGATACAAGGCTTCCAAGTTCGGTAGCCGCGAGGCTGTGCGCAACACCTTCGACCACTTCCCCGATAAGGTGGCCATTCAGCTGAACGATACGCATCCATCGTTGGCCATACCCGAGCTGATGCGCATCTTGGTTGATGACGAACATCTGGAATGGGAGAAAGCTTGGGATATCACTGTACGCTCTTGCGCCTACACCAATCATACCGTGCTGCCTGAGGCTCTGGAACGCTGGCCCGTGTCCATGTTGGAGTCGATTTTGCCTCGTCACTTGCAGATCATCTATCACATCAATTTCCTGCACATGGAGAATGTGAAGAAGAAGTTCCCCGAGGACTTGGACCGCATGCGTCGCATGTCCTGCGTTGAGGAGGATGGCGAGAAGCGCATCAACATGGCCCATCTTTCAATTGTTGGCTCCCATGCTGTCAATGGTGTGGCTGCCATCCACTCGCAGATTCTGAAGGACACGCTGTTCCGTGACTTTTATGAAATGGATCCCAAGAAGTTCCAGAACAAGACGAACGGCATTACACCCCGTCGTTGGTTGTTGCTCTGCAACCCGGGCCTGTCCGATCTCATTGCCGAGAAGATCGGTGATGAGTGGCCTGTGCATTTGGATCAGCTGGTTGCCCTCAAGAAGTGGGCCAAGGATCCCAACTTCCAGCGCAACGTCGCACGCGTCAAGCAGGAGAACAAACTGAAGTTGGCTGCCATCTTGGAGAAGGATTACGGTGTTAAGGTGAATCCCGCCTCCATGTTTGACATTCAGGTGAAGCGCATCCACGAGTACAAGCGCCAGCTGCTCAACTGCCTGCACATCATCACCCTCTACAATCGCATCAAGAAGGATCCCACAGCCAACTTCACACCCCGTACCATCATGATCGGTGGCAAGGCCGCTCCTGGCTACTATGTGGCTAAGCAGATCATCAAGCTGATCTGTGCCGTTGGCAATGTCGTCAACAACGATCCCATTGTTGGTGATAAGCTTAAGGTCATCTTCCTGGAGAACTATCGTGTAACGCTGGCCGAGAAGATCATGCCCGCTGCCGATCTATCGGAACAGATCTCAACGGCTGGCACTGAGGCGTCCGGCACTGGCAACATGAAGTTCCAGCTTAATGGTGCCCTAACCATTGGAACTCTGGATGGTGCGAATGTGGAGATGGCCGAGGAGATGGGCATGGATAACATTTTCATCTTTGGCATGACCGTCGATGAGGTTGAGGCCTTGAAGAAGAAGGGCTACAATGCCTACGACTATTATAATACCAACCCGGAGGTCAAGCAGGTCATCGACCAGATTCAGGGCGGTTTCTTCAGTCCCGGCAATCCCAACGAATTCAAGAATATTGCGGACATATTGCTGAAGTACGATCACTACTACTTGCTGGCCGATTACGATGCGTACATTAAGGCGCAGGATCTGGTCTCAAAGACCTATCAGGTACGCTCTGAAAAATATATATAAATATGGTGGTCAAACTAATTTTCTATCTTCTCTGTTGCAGAATCAAGCCAAGTGGCTGGAGATGTCCATCAACAATATTGCCTCCAGTGGCAAATTCTCATCGGATCGTACCATTGCCGAATATGCCCGCGAAATCTGGGGCGTCGAACCCACCTGGGAGAAGCTGCCGGCACCGGAGGATCAGCAATAAATCAATTCAATTCACTTTTTTTGATATTATCTATATATTTTATTATTCGTGTGCTTTACTTATGTTAAAGTTCCCAAACCCCACAATTTTTAGGAGCCAAAGCTAGCGCTAAGGAGTGAACATCGATCGGGCTCATTGTTATAAATATTAAATATCTTATTTAATAAATTTTAAACAAATCCATTTGCTAATCTTCAATTTGATGGAAACCAATTAGCGAATCATTCTACCCAATCGCCATTCAAATCTCAGGAACAACTTTCAAAGTAATCAATAAAACTAAACGAAAACCAAAAAGAAAATTTGAAAACTTCGTTTGTAACTTAGTGCAAAGCTTTGTTTTAGATATGGATATAAATATGCGTGTTAAATACAAAATGAAATAAAAGTTCAACTGTTAAATGTGTAAAGAACAAATTAATTGATCTAAGGGTTAGGAAATGTTAATAAAGAATTTTGGAATACAATTGGGTTAGGGGAGGTTACATATCGGAAACCGAATGAGCTAGTAAATGCTAGTAGCGAAAAGAAGGCCATTCAGTCAGATTAAATGAAATCGCAAATATACAGAAAAAAGATTTTTGTGTATTTCGAAAAGAGCTAAAGAAGCTCTAAAGAATTCAAGATACAGCTCTCTTTTTAACTAGTCTCAATAGCCATGGTAAAAGTTTCAAAATTTTCGGTGGCAAAGGCAACAAAGGAATTTCGCTTGGTTATTGGACTCGTCAGGCCCAGTGACAATTTTAATACCAATAAACTATAAAATTGTTGTGCAGGAGGAAGCTGACCCTATGAAGCCACATCTGGATCGACTGCTGAGCAAACCGAAGCCAAGAGCTGCAGTACCAACGAAAATACGACGCATACGTCGACTCTTCGTTAATATTGAGGCGAATGGCTGTCCGAAGTATAGTTGCTCTACGATTAGGCCTAGGGTTTTGGTCAAGCCCTCCTACGATCCGTGGGCTGTAGCGAAGTGCCAGCAAATGGAAACGAATTCAGCTGTCTATGCATATGCCTTAAATAGTCTTTGTACCGGCACCGACTCTCATTGGAATGAGTGTGGACTAGCGCGTCCGTCGGCTGGAGCGAGCGAGCCAGAGAACATGAATGAGCTAAGACTATTGCTGGACAATTTGAATGAGCTACAGAATGGACAGCAAGGCAATTCGTTTTACCAGCCAAGGGAGAACCTGGCTAGTCAGTCATGCCTCACAGCCGACCAAGCACAGCCCACATATTCGATGGGTAGCTTACCGAATTACTCCCAGCAGTTCAGCGAACGCAATATGAACTGCGAGGCGGATATTCGTAAGGCGGAGCTGAATACCCTCACCGATATGTTGCAACAGACCATGGCCAAGCTGGACAGCCTCGTGAGTCTGCAAACTGAGAAGCAAGCGCAAGTACCACCTCAGCTTGATATGAGCTATATGCCACAGTTAGGCAAGCTATTGGACAACGGATCGCCTTTAAGTCTGCTGAGTAAGGCCCCTAAGTCAACCCGGGCCAAGCGCTTGGTTAAGGTTATGCCCGTACAGCCCTTGGTCATTATGCCGGCAGCCGTAGCTAATCAAGCTACAGCTACACCGACTGTAGCACCAGCTGCGCCTGTAACTCCTGTTGCTCCCGCCAAGGTACCGTACACCAAATATCGCACACGCCTGCGCAAAAAGCGTTACAAGGCCGCTGGCACCAACACTTCAGCCGATAGTTCGGCTAACTTGATGAGTAGCTCACAAATAGGTAGGGTTAACTGAATACCTGTTTGCTTTAATGATATCACTGATGTCTACCCCTTATTGTCTCTACACCCAGCTGAGTCTGCTTCCCAGGTGAAAGACTCTGGCACCACCATGTGGTGTCCCAGATCATGCTGCAAACATTGCTGTGGCATTGTAACGGACAGCGCGACGAGCATGTCCGAGTCGACCCTCAAGACACAACAATCGGAAGCTAAGGATATGTCAATGACTCCACTCTCCAGCCCTATACAGTTGACAATGCCACAGGGCAGTTTTCTGGGAGTATCGCCCCAGCTAAGTCTATTGCACGCTGGCAATCACACCGAGGGATACCAACAGAGCAGTTCTATGCATCCTGGGAGACATAACGAACAGAACAGATACTCTAACGAGCTCCCACTCTCTACACTATTAAGGGATGGCAATTATACCGCGGGTAAATATACCGGTGGATCCCCGCAGACTATTTTTATAGCTCCTGGTAGCTACGAATTGCCGCCACCAAAAAGCATGTTGAAAAATCAAGGAAGCTACTATGAACCGTCTTCCGGTCATGGGTATGGAGCCCACCACCAGCAGATGCCAGTCGCAACGGAGATGTCAGATCAATATCCAACAAGTCACGACATGGACTATGAGTATACTTACAACAGTCAAGCTCCTGAAAAGGAACGGTCGCGTGCTGGAAAGCTCAGCTACTCCTACACGGAAGAGGAGGAAGAGGAGCAGCTCAGAGCAGGCTCAGATTCAGACGCCGAGCAGAGCTGCGGGGACGAGTGGTACCATAAGGTATGCCATAGTCTAGCCGAGCTGGAAGAGGAGCAGAGTTATTTTTCCAATATGAATACTCCTCAATGCACCTGCGACAAGGGGCAGCAAACCGACTGCTTAAGCACGCACCAAAACACAGATAAGTGCATTTGCACCAACGACCTGGAGGCAGCGGTAAATCCGCGCAAGATTGTGCCGAGGTGCAGGCCATCGAGTCTGAAGTGTAGAAGGCGTAAGCCCCTAGCTAGGCCACAGAGTCAGGTGAAGTCTGTCAGTCTTCCAAAGACACAAACCAAAATACAGACTCAAAGCAATCCCTTTCCGCTGGAGATGGGTCAATCGCTGCCCAAATATCGAGTGCTCAAGTCCATGAGCGAGGCTCTTCCAGTTGCTGCTCAGAAACATAAAAAGAGACGCGTTTACACGTGCAAGCAGCTCGCCAGATATCAGAAGCTGTTGGCGTTGGTAGAGAGCACTGAGGAGGCGTACGCAAGGATCTACAGGGAGCTCAAAGGTAATCCCATGAACAGAAGCATACCTTTCCATCGAAAGCGAGCAACTGGCGCCACTACTTATCCCACCAACTGGCCACAGTTAGGAAATTCAGTCAAGCAGCATGCTCTGCTCGAATAGAGTTTCAGTTCCTATCATAAATTTCAACATTTGGGAGGAGATGGACACAATGCAAAAGAGAGGAAGATAAAGATCGACACAAAAGACGGAGAGAGAGCAACTATGAATAGTGATTACGCGTCCGACTGTACGGCAAGTTGTGAAGCTTCGTGCACTAAAGGACGTAAAACTTTTTCGCCAAGGGTTGAACAGCAATTAGATCCTAATTACGAGAATTTTATCGTACATGAGCTAGAGGATAGATCCGAGTCTGTGTCACAGTACTTCACCAACCGGTGGCACGTAGAAATGGCTGACAATACAATGAAGAACAATACTTGGGAAATCGATCARTCCATCAGATCAGATCAGAAGTATGAAGCTTACGACCTTCAGGATAACCAGCCCGAAATGAATAAGAACTATTTCAAAGCAAATGATATTTGCGACCCAGAAGATAACCACCCGGAAATCAAAAAGAAGTCCACTGTTCTAGTCTTAGTTGTCAAGTGGGTACAGCTTTAAGCTTTTACAAGAAATTAATGTAATTCCTTCTACTTTTCTATAGTTCTGCAGCCATTTATCCAAATGACAATGATCCGTCTCCAGCTCCCTCAAATTTTGGCCATCAAACGGAACAATATATCCCAGAAAGGTATTGCTTTATATATATACGTAAAGAAAGACTTTAATATAAGTTACGACTACTATTCTGAGCGTCTTTTACATTACGATATGAGATATCTCTCAACACCTAGACCCCTAGGTATCTACTGATTCGATGTGTCCTCATCTTTAATGACCAGACAGTAGAAGTATTGCCATCTCGTTTCATCTCATCATTCTCTTTCAATTCGATACTTTTACAGACAAAACGATGCTCGAGCAAACCATCAAGACTTCAGATCGTGCTGTGGACAACGGCCAATCAATGGGTAAGATCAACTAAACCTTAAGGCAAACCCTGTTTCTTATTGATCTGTTGGTTCAGTCAAATGGATCATGCGCCCCAGAACTCTTTCCAAAATCAGCCGCAATATCAAGGACTCTGCTCGTGTCAGGATGGCAATGAGGAGTGGTATGGCGAGAATTCGAATGCGATGGACTGCCAATGTGAGCCAATGTGTGATTGCGACTGTAACTGCGATTCAGGAGATAGCCAGGTGACAAATCAAATGGACCAGGTGATAAATGAGTTGGGCCAGGTGACAAATGGGTTGGGCCCGGTGACAACTGAGATGGGTTATGCACTTTTAAAGCTGCTGGAGCAGCACAGAGCTGCGGCAGAACAGAAAGCAAAAACCAAAACTACGACAAATAGGAAAGCTACAAGCCAGAAAAGAAGAACCCATAAAACGACAAATCAGAGGTCAGCAAACAGGAAAGCAACAGACATGAAAGGCACATTCTACAATCGATTCTCGACACCACCTTTTGTGATCGAGCCAAAGCCTCGTTGCTACTTCATCCGAGGTCCGGTGTGCTGCAACACGTGCAACACGTGCAACAGTTGCAACAGCTGTCGCTGTTATCAGTACTAGGAGAAGTCAATCAGAGATAGACAAGCCAGAATAAATCGAAAAACCAAAACCGAGAAATCTTTGTCAAAATGTGCAATTTATTTGTTGTATAAATTGTGTTGTGACTCGACCTAGAGCTTTACTCTTTGGCATTTGGTAAAGCATGACGGGTTTACGTAAAAAGCGACGCTCATCCAAGCAAACTCTGCTCCGAAAGGCTATCAAGAGGACAAGCGATGTGGCCGTTAGGTCGCCAATGTACGACTTGCCCAAATCTCGAACCAGCCCACAAGCAAAGACCATCACAGTCGTGAGCTCAATCAACAGGGATGCCCAGCTCAAGCAGGTCATGCAGCACTGCCTGTCGAACAACTCAGCCTCCGGCTGGGAGCCCAGGGAGCACTTGTACGGCGGGTCAAACTTAAGATCAGCTAAATCAATACCCAAACGAAACTTTGTCAATGGTAAGAGTGACACATGAAATGCAACGACTTCAGAGCTAAACTTCTATTTCTATTATAAAAGAAATTGGACTTGACCGCGAGCCCTCGAGATCTTCCAAATGGTCGAGAGCTAGCTCCTCTGGCTATCCCTCCAGTTGGAATTTGGATGTGTCGCGATGCGACGAATTGGACGACTCGTTCACTGATCGGATCAGTCTAAACAAGTTTCTCAACTGCAAACCCAAAGTCGGTCGAAGTCTGGCACAGCGGAAGAAGAAATGCAGTACGGGTGTACAATGTAGGATACCTCATCTGTCCAGGCAGACACGTTTCAAGGCCAGATCGAAATTATCCTCGCTTAGCATAACTCAAATCGGACTGGTTGAACCAATCGCTGGAAGATACGACAAACCGTTTCAAGATGCGCCACAGCGAGTGCCTAGTGGAGAGGCGAGACTGAGTACAAACAGCTTGTTGCAAGATAATGGAAATGAAAACAGAACTAGGCCCTTCAATGGTGGTTACACCTCATCGGATTGCAGTTGTGAATGGGATTGCGATAAAGTCATTTACCCTAAGCAATCGAATGTGTACATTGCCCATGAAAAATATAACCAAAGTCGACCGTCGCCTGATTCGCATCGTGAAACTGTAGAGGAGGGCAACACAAGAGTTTCGAGTCGTACAAGGCAACAAAAGGGTAATGAAAAATATGGCGATATCAGTCACAGCAGCCATGAGGAAGGCAAACGAAGGAACTCGAGTCCCAGAAGCCAAGAAAACGGCTATCGAAGGGGGATTTCTAAAAACCAAGTAGAGAGCAAACGGGGGAACTCAAGTGCCAGGGGCCAAGTAATCGGGAACGAACAGAATGGTATGAGCGAAGATGAGTGCAATGAAATAGTCAGGCGAAGAAATCAAGGAAAGGGAACAGAGAGTCGTAGAAACCAACAAAACGGCAAGGGAAATGACACTAAAATAAAAGATCGGAGAATGCAGAAAGGCTGCGCTAGGTTCCTCTGTCCAAAAGCTAATGGAAAATCCGATCATTTCTGTTACTGCAATGCAGAAGAGAATATGGATATGCAGGGCAACCCACAACCGGATGAAGTATGCCAGTGTGAATATTTCGAGACCGACGAGCCGAGAGGAAAGCAAAATGCGAGCAAAGAAGAAATAAGAGGGACAGCCAGACCTCAAAGTTCTGTCCCAGAATCAATGTCCAGTTCAAGACAATTAATAGGTCAAGATTCGGAGCACAGCTCAAGAGAAGGCGAAACTCAAAATCGTAAAGCTCAATCAGGAACAATGTCAAGCTCACGACAATCAAGACTTCAAACCCAAACAGAATCTACAAGAAGCTCAATCCCGCATGCAGCGACTAGGACCTTGAGAGAAGCGCGAGACTCGCTGTCTAGAAATAAAAATAAGAACGCTGAAGTAGGTAATCGAAAAAAGAAGAGCATAGGAGGAGACTTGAATAGTTCAGCGCAAGTCGATGTCAACAGATGCATGAAGGTGCCCTGCCCAAAGGATGGTGGAAAGGCGGACCAAGGGAGTTTCAAAACTAATGAGATGCATTACTGTTATTGCAAAGCAATCAAAAGTGGAACTGAAGAACCGAGCGAAGGATGTCATTGTGCAAATTTCGATAGCGATGAACCGGGCGGAGAACAAAATGCGAGCGTAAATGAAAGAATGATCGAAGAGGAACGCTCAAGGACCAATCGCAGCGGGGTAGCAACAGCTCCAAGTTCTGACCCAGAAGCAATGTCTAGTTCAAGACATTTAACAGCTATGAGTTCAAGCCAATCTAGGCCGCTAGATGGTAGCCAAAAATCAGCCCAGAGCCTTAGAGATGGAACTCAGAATCCTAAGTCATCAGCCTTTGCAGCATCGACATCGAAAAGTACATCAAAACAATCTGGACAACTGGCATCTGCTCGATCATCGCCTAAGCAATCGAGGCCAGGAGCAATGTCTAGCTCAAGACAACTAGGAGCTGACAGTCCTAAGCAAGAATGTATTTCAGTGCCAAAGCGAAATGCAGCGCGTACAGATCAAAGTACCACGCAGACTTCAAATAAATCTGTGGCCATTTCCAACGCCACACAGAATTCTGTCAAGTTTACGAGCCACCAATGTGAAGTGTGTGACCCCTCGAATCAGCCGTGGTGCATGTTTGGCAATCCACAGTGGTCAAACAATTGTCAATATCATGGTTGCTCAAACAGGGAACAGACATGGAGGAGTTGCAATGGACACAGGATATGCAATTGCTATTGCCAATGTTGCTTAAGGGCTCTCAATAATCAGAATTCTAGACGCCCTAATTCGGCAGCGACTTGGGAAGAAGAAGGTGCAGAGGGAGAGCAGCTCAAAGGACCGTTGGGATCGAGTCCTGGATCAAGCTTAAGGTCTGCAGCGAACACGGTTAGGAGCCTCGATTCGAGATCAGGCTCGAAAACGGACTCAAAACTGGGTTCGCCACAGGGCTCTGGATTGGTCTCGGATTCGAAAACATACCAAGTCCCAGGGAAAACCTCTTCTAGATTCCCGGATAAGAGCGCCGCAAAACTAGTGGATAAAAAACTGGCCAGATCGGCAGAGGAATGCCATTCGATCTGTCCAAATTGCGGCATTAATATTAATGAGTTTATACGGAATTCTAAAAACAAAAACAAAGAATATCCACCAATCAGTGTTGAAGAGGATAAAAACATTTATCAGTCGCCATTGCAGTCGAATCCATCCAAACAGCAAGGGAATGGGAAATCATACGAAAATAATGACAGGAGAAAGGAGAGCAGTACCAAGCCTCATTGCAATTGTGCCACCTGCACGAGGGAGTGCAAACGGTGCAAGATATTACCAGCTGAGGGCAAAAAGGGCGAGCCATTGGTGAATCTCGTCGTGAGTGACAAATGCAATATACAGCAGTTAATTGAGATACTGAATGAGACCAGCGCAAAGCTAGAGGAACAGCAGAATTTGGTGAACCAATCCGTTGGGAAACCGGCTACAGCAGAGCCTGTATTCAATTTCGATGGTAACATTGCAAATAACAATTGGACTTCAAGCAATCCGAATAATATCGATAAGCATCAGATGATGGGGAATCATAATACGCAGTCTAATCGGAGACAGGATAATCTCAATGTGAATTATAATTCTCCACCCCCTATTGCATATCCACAATATGATCCGCGATTATTGCAAACATACGAAGCTCCAAACGCTGGTACTTTCCCAAACTCCGTGAGAATTCTCACACAAACCGAATACGATTATCCCGATCCAGCTGCTGGAGCATACCAGCCTAACGCTTCGTATAGAGGTGAATGCACTTGCTATCCAACATTAAATAATTATATACGTAGGTGCAGTGGCTCTACTTTTCCTAACTGTACAGATGACAGTGCCCAGACCAGCCCAGTCGGAAAACAAGCAGTTCTACAGAAGAATTTGAACTCAAAATCCTTCTTAGAACTTCTTGATCTGACAATGGCCGTAAAAGAGAAAGGGGCCCTTCAGAAGGACACAGTTTTTCAACCTATGCAGAATATGCAGATATCTAACGAAGAGGAAAGGACTCTTAAAGTAAGCGACTACACAGTTCATACGAATACCAATGGCGAAAAATCGGATAGGGTTTATAAAGACATTAATCCAACTCAACCTCCATTTTATCTAAATGAAGTATTTAATAATCCGTCAATAGAGAAATTCAAGGGTAAACCAGAATATGAGAACAGAAAAAATGTTGATAAATTTGAATGCAATTTCTATAAAATCGATGATAAAGGCAATAGATCATGTCAACGGAAAAGGTTTTCGGATATAGAACACCCAGGCCACCCTCGGCGTAAGGCAGAAGCTCTTCATCAAAGTCAAGAGAAAGTTCTAAGAAAAAAATTACTACGAAAACAATTTGAACTAGAGCAAAACACATCTGATTCTGATTACTTTAGAGCAGCTAGTTATACGCCAGAAATTAGAATATACGATTTAAGAGAACGAGACATTAGAGAGAGGAAAAGGTCAGGATTTGATCAAATGAAACTAAGTGACAGTTCACCCAAGTCGTACGGCTTCGACTCTTGTAGACGAGTTTCAACAAGCTCAGAAATGAAATTAATGGAACGCGAAGCACTCTACAATGAAAAGGAAATACAATCGGAAACATCATATATTGATTCGCATTGTAGACGTCGACCTCCAAGGAAAGCTGATTCTCTGCGATGCAGGCAAAAAAGTTATTCAAGATTCCAAAATCTTGCTGCAAGGCGTTCAAAATACAGGTATCTTTTGCGCAGACGAGAAAAAGATAAGAACGAAACCTCAAATCTCTCCATGAGGAGCGAAACAGGATCTAAAATGCTTCTATCAAGGAATAAAATGAAGGTTAATGCGATTGGAGAAAGTCCAAAGAAGTCCAACTCTCGAAGCAGTTTTCCATTTAGGAACAACCAAAGAATTATAAATAAAGTCGTTCCACTAGCAAAAGAATTAAATGAATCAAAAAAAAATTTCACAATGAGATCAAAAGTTGAAACGAAAGAAAACACATATTTTGATTATTCGGATTATTCGCAATTGGATCACGCAGAATCTAAGAATTCGAAATCGAAAAATCGACACTTTCCTATCAGAAGAATGACAGAAGAAATGAGAGTAAACGAAAGACCAACTTATGTGGAATCAAGAAGCAGAGTATTTCCGAATAAATTGCTGGAAACAACGAAAGAAAGAAATAGCATTAAGGGAGAAAGTGAAAGATCAGATGCTTCGGTATTAAGAAAAATGGAATCAAGAAACAGACTTAATCCATTCAGAAAGAAAATAGAGGAAAGGAAGTCAGATCATTCAGAGTATAAAAGTTTTGAAGCAAAGCGCCAACTTTTTGCTAACGGAGGACAAATTAAAGTTAAAACATATAAATCAGTAATAGGTAACTTAAATTCAAATAAATCTGTTACATCCTTCAGCCACAAAAGTGAAAAGAAAGCCAAAGATGAAAGTTTAGATTTGAAAGCCATGTCTTTTCAGTCAAACTCAGTGATAAGTAAAACAAAACGTGATAAGTGTGAGCTACCTGAAATAAAAGCAGTTAAAGATCGATTAGAATCTATACACAAGTCACATTTTTCAGCTCCTCTTCGCCAAGAGAAAGCTCTTAAGAAATGCGCCCCCATTCCTCCACCTAAACCAGTCAAAAAAGGAGCCTCTAGACCAAGTGATGCCGTCTCTGCTTCTAACCACAAGCAACATCGAGCAGTTCGAAGTCTGCAACAAAATCAATCTGATGGCGATGATATTAAAGTGCTTTACGATTCAAGCTCTAAATTTTCGAGGCACAGCTGTGGAGATGGAGATACAAACACCGATTGCGAACCAGATACCAAGCCCAAAACAAGTCAAAATAATTTCTTTTCCATGCTATTAACTCGAGACAAACTTACGGACTCCAAGCGATATTCCTGATAATCAACCAAGACAAATTTATTAAGTCAACTCCAAAATTTTCAAAAATTCGCTTCGATAGTAAATTAAATTAAAATTGTAACAAAACACGTCTGCGACTGTTTATTAACACTGGTTTGATATCTATCGCCAGTCGATTACATACCAGCTGTTTCGACACATGTGGTGGTCGGTCGATTAAATATTATCGACAACTCTGCATAACATCAACAATTGGACCTCGTCGTAATTGTTGAAAAATGTTAAAATTCTTAAATAAAACGCGACAGTTGCTGTATCCAAATGTGCGCAATTTGTCGCATACCGTCACAGTTTGTCAGAGCAATGCAGCAACTGAATCCACAACGACGACCGGTAAGGAAACACTTGTTTCCAAGCCGGCTCTAATACTGCCCCAGAATTATGCGGAACATGCGCCCGTGAGCCGAAGCACTGCACGCCAGGCGTGGATAGAAAATGTGGATGCAGTGACTGAGAGAAAAGTAGGGCTTATGGAACTGCATCCGGATGTGTTTGCTGCACAGCCGCGCGTCGATGTCATTCAGGAGAATATTGAGTGGCAGCGCAAGTATCGTTATGTAAGCATGGCACATACCAAAACACGCGCCGAGGTGCGGGGAGGCGGACGCAAACCCTGGCCACAGAAGGGCATGGGTCGTGCACGCCATGGCTCGATACGTTCGCCACTCTTCAAAGGCGGCGGCGTCATCCACGGTCCGCGTTCACCGACCACCCATTTCTATATGCTGCCCTTCTACAAGCGAGTGATGGGACTCACATCGACGTTGAGCGTCAAATTGGCGCAGGATGACTTGCACATCATTGAAGATGTTGAGATTCCCACGAAGGATGCACAGTTTATTAGAGATTTGATTCAGGAGCGTAATTGGGGACCCTCTGTGCTGATTGTGGACAAGTAACTAAACTCCACATGTGCTTTAAACTCTTCTATTCAAGTCTTAATTTCTATTTTAGGCACGATGTATTTCCAGAGAATATTTGCTATGCTACAGACTCGATAGGCTATGTGAATCTGATGCCCGCCTATGGCCTGAACGTCTATTCCATGTTAAAGCATGATACATTGGTGTTGACTGTGGAGGCCGTTAAGCATTTGGAGGAGCGTTTGCTTTATCAGCTCCATCGAAATGATGCAGCCAGCAAGCAAACCAAATTTAAGCTCGATCAAGTTTAGATTAAGCCTTTATATAATTTAATTGTATTTACTTGTATATGATTTAATACAAATGAAGTTTGTTATGCCTACTGCTTCACTTGTTGCACAGCCTGGGAATTGCTTCTAAATGCAGTTTGCAAGGGATCTTTATCCTTTTCTGAAACAATGACCTCACACTTTTCTTGAAGTCTCTCCTTCAGTATGCACTGAAATTCACGCAGGAAACCGCGCTCCGAATTGCTGTGATTGCAAAGCAGAACTGTCGTCCCATTGTGGTTGAAGTCCAGCAACTCGTGATGCGACATCTCGCCAGTTATGACCAGATCCGCTTTAATGCCCTTTAGGACTGATCCGCCGGATCCCGCGCATATCCCAACGGTATGCACAAAAGTCTTTGGATGATGGTCCACAGCATATGCCACATGCACGCTGTTGTCTATGTGGTCTTGAAGTGCATGCACCAACTGGGAAATGGGCATACTGGTCTCTACAAGACGTCCGGAGCCGGTGCCATCAACTGCGCCCGGCTCTGGAACCAAGGGCTTAATGCCCTTTATATCTACTGCCTTGGCCAGCCAATCATTGACACCACCCACCACTTTATCCCAGGCCGTATGTGGAGAATACAATGCCTTGGAGTTAGCTAAGCATCCGACTACTATACGCTCCTTCCAGTTGGACATAGTAATCCGTGTCAATGGCCGGAAGATTGGCGGATGATAGCTGATGATCAGATCGACATTCTTCTCCAGAGCTTCACCCAACACGGGCTCAGTGAGATCATTGGTTAGCAATATGCGCTCCACATGTTTCTGCAATTGCATTCAATACCATTTTCTTTTCTTATGTATTTTACATTCTTAAATTGCTTACATCTGTGCTTGGCTCGATCAACAGGCCCACGTTGTCCCACTTTTCGGCCAGGGATGCCGGTGCAAACTTTTCCAGCACATTGACCACTTCATTTAGTTTCAGACCAGAGAATGTTGCCATGCTTCTTCTCAGTCTTAACGCGCTGCGTAACATTCAACAGACAATCTTCTACAACTACTTCAAAAGTTAACTCAACCAAAGTTTGTATAATTTTAACAAGGAGTGCTGGAAAACGTTTAAAAAAGACTCAGTTGGAGCGCCAACTACTACTACTTTGGCGGTTGTTTGAAATTACGTTTGTGGCACGTGGCTAAAACCAATCGCAAATTGTGTTAATATTATGTATATATATTTTGTTAATATTTAAGGAAGAATATATTTAAATGCTGTCTCAAAATGTAAATGATTACAATGTACATTATTAAAATAATTTTAAAAAATTCTTAAAACTTCTTCGTGTTAGTGCTTAATAGTTTTCTAGCACCTCTTCATGTGTGCCAGTGTGAAATCCAATTGAAGTCACGTGCTTTCAATTCAATATTACTTTTATCTGGGTTAAACCGATGTTATTGCGTCTCGTAATAAGTCTAGCAATTAAATAAAATTATTCCAAGAATTGTTACATCTTTAAATGCGTAAGCTATATGTACATGGATGTAGGTATATTGATGATGTTATACCCTATGATTGATTCAAATAGAAATAATATATATTTATTACGAGTCAGATGTATCTATACACATACATTCATCTAATACACGATCTGAAACTGGTTTCGATGGGATCTGTTAGCATAAAGCATTAGAAATCTTTTTTATACATTTTAATGTAACGAAGTAGAGAATATATATTAGTCGAACACTCCCAACTTTAGCTCTATGTTCAGTTCCCGCAACTTGGGTTTTGTGAAGTTTTCGTTCTTCCGATCCCGCATTTCAATTTAGCAAAACATATTTGAAATGTTTAAAGAGTCATTTTAAGTATTTTTTATTATTTTTGTGAACGCGCCACTAAGTCAAGAAAATCCCAAGTGACGAATCTGAATGCAGATAAGAAAAGACGCTAGCAACAAAACACATAAGAGTAACAACAAATAAACCCGGTTTTTTAAAACCAAAAATGTAAATCACACGGACACAAAAGATCAATGTCCTTTAATATTTAAGCCAATGCAATGATACTTTCCCAAATACAATTAATTTGTAATGTAAATAAATTAAATAGCAGTTTAACATATTCAGTTGTATCGCATGCATTACTCCTTTTGCATTCCTTTGCGCACTCATTCGTTTCAACTATTCTCATCTGACTGTTGCATCTGGCAACATCTTTTCCTTTTAATTCTTGCTGCAGCGTTGCAGCCATTTTTTGTTGTTCTTTTCTATCTGCATCTTCGTCCAGGCGTCGACGTCAACGACGTCAAACTGCTGTGTTCATTTCAGTTTGGGACGCGGAGCGGGTCACATCCGATGCGACAAAGCAAAAGATATTCTAACATATGGTATGGTTGTCTTTAAAATAATTGTTGTTCTTGTTGCCAATGTGTTGTTGTTGTTACTGCTGTTGGTTTGGAGTGCGTCTGCATTTAAATCGAAGCTTTGGTTGTTAACGTTGCGCGCCTTATACCGAAAGCTTTTGATACGCCGATCTGGCAGCGCCACTTGGTTTCCCCCAACCATCAAAGCTTTACCGTAAATATCGCTGCAAAGCTAAATTAAAGCAGCTTTAACGCAATAAATGTAGTGCTATTTTCAACGTGAAAGAGTCGAGACGTTTGTATTTTAAAGCGGAGCGCAGTCATATTAACTACAAGTTAAAAGCGAAACGCGAATAAATGTGGAACAGCATGCGAAACAAATTATAATAATAGACAAATTCAAGAGGTGTGTGAGTGTGTTGAAGCACAATGAATTTACAATGATAATATAAATTCCGATATACATAATATAAATTAAACAAACAAAAGATCAAAACTTATAATTTGTGTGCAATTGCACACAAAAATAAAAGCAGAAGCGATTCAGCAGCGTGTCTGCTTGTTTGTACGTGTGTGTTATTGTGGTGTCTGCGTGTACGTGTTACTGTAGCTGCTCGCGTTACTGTGCCTGTGGGTGATGTGTGTGTGGGAAACGAAGACAGGTGCTGCACAAGCTGAAAATAAAACAGGCAAATTGAAATAAATATGTACACGAAATGCCTATGCAAATGGAATTCTTCTAATTATCCAATGAACAGCAGAAACGATATTTTTTGTTGTTGCTAATCATAACTTTGGACATGCGCTAATCTGCTATTCCGTTTTCACTTGTGTTGGGCACTATATATTCGTTTCACTCGCGCACACGGCAGTCGAGGCGAGTGCCAGAGAGACGCTTAAAGCGCAGTTACGCGAGCTCTTCGTATATGTACATGTATATGCAATCATATCTAGGTGTGTGTGAGAGAGAGCGTCTGAGTGTGAGCGAGTGCTTGTTAAAGCTTTAAAGCAAAGTTCAGCGTGTGAATTTCCATTAAATTGTTAAAGAAATTTTTACAGAAACAACGACAAACTATAGTTTAACAAAGAATACGAGACGTTGGCAAATCAATTGCAAAAGAAACAAAATCAGCAAAGTAACTTTATTCAAATCAATAATAAAAGCAAAGGCCAACAGGCAGGCAACATAGTTCAAAATGTGGAACCAAACGACAACAGCAGCAACAAGTGAGAATAACAAGGCTAAGGAAACGGTGGAGGATTGTAGCTGTGCTGTTGGTGGCGTTGCCAGCGCTGCCACAGCTGTCAGTGTTGAGCAACAGCAGCAAAGAGCTGCACTTGAAGCTAACAGTAAACAAGCAGCAGCAACAACAACAACATCATCATTTGGCGGCAAAAGCAGCGAGCAACAACAAAGCAGCGAAGCCGCCATTAACAAGAACAAAGAATTTGCAGCACAAAGTGAAACAAGCGATTCTGGTTTCATCTCCGGTCCCCAATCATCGCAAATATTTAGCGGTGAAATAAGTGACGACGAAACAGGACATCAACAGGAGAAGAAGAAGGAGTCGGAGCAGGACAAGCGACAGGATCAAAGCCAAGATCAGAAATCAGACAAATTGCAAACTGTGCTTGATTCGGGCATCATCGACGAGCTCGAAGAGGAGGAGCACGAGGAAGAGAAGGAAAAGACAACAGCAGGAGCAACAACAGCAACAAATCAAACGGAAGCTGGCGTCGAACAGCCGGCCAGCGAGCAAATGCGCTTCAAACACAATGTCGATTCGGGAATACCCCAATGGACTGTACAGTCAAGCCTCGGTATGAATAATCTCAATATATCAGCAGCAACAAATGCCAACAGCTCCGCTGGACGAAGAAGCGCACCTCAGACCACAACAACAACAGTAACAAATGCAGCTGGAAATACTGCAAATGTAACGGCGCCATTAAGCAACACCAGCAACATTAACATCATGAACGCCTGGGAGCAATTCTATCAACAGAACGACGATGGCGACACGTGAGTAATATATCAAAAACAAAAGTATTTCCGTTTACAAAATACCCAAAAAAAAAAAAGGTGGAACAAAATACCAAATTAAAAGAAAGTTATTGAGAGACGTGGGTGACTCAACGTTACCCTAGACTTAGTGTATAACATGTGTCTTGTTTATATCTGGCCTTTGGTTGCTGTACTAGGGCTAAGAGGAGTCTCGAACATAAAACCCATCTAATAACTTGATTCAAGAAAAGCTATAAAAATAGTTCATTCTATGCCATCTATTTATCAATTTATCATATAAGGAACATCATCTTAACCTACCAAAAAGTTTATGGTCATAGTATAAAATAAATAAATAAATTTATAATATCTATAGGGTATTTAGAGATTCTTTTCGCATAAAAATGTTGACTTGACCCGACCACCTACTGTGTGAGTGTCTGGGGATACTTTCATGAATCACAACAAATACACACAGAGAAAACAGAAAGCACAAGACAATGAGACGACGACTCGGATCGAATCAAATCGAGTCGTCTACAGACACATGTTAGTCAGGCAGTCAGGGGTTTTCCTGGTATGTCAACTACCTGAACAGGTTTTTGGGTCGCGCAAATTTGTGGGTTTTTACAGGCGAAACGATCATGAAACAAGTGTGGAAAATATGCAGGTAAAACATATTAGTCTGCCCACATTAGTCAACACTGGTTAGTCCATGCGTGATCGAGGCATAAGTCATGTTAGTTTATCTTGAAATTGTAAGAAGTTCTTATTATACAGTTTTTATAGATTTTATACATTTTCCACCACTTGTAGTTTCCACCTTATTATTTGCTTTAAGTTCAGTTCATTCCCCAACCAGTCCTCAGATCATTGCCCAATACTAATCTATTTTCTCTCTCTGTCGTTACAGACCACTGCATTTGGCCTGCATATCGGGCTATGTGGATGTGGTTGCCGCTCTGATACGCATGGCTCCACATCCATGCCTCCTAAACATCCAGAACGATGTGGCACAGACGCCACTGCATCTGGCCGCACTCACAGCGCAGCCAACGATTCTGCGCATGCTTCTATTAGCCGGTGCCGAGGTGAGCAGCCGCACCTACTCAATCAATTACGCAGGCTAAATCATTCTAATCCAACTATCTATCCATCTCTTTATCTTTGCAATCTGTCAATCAATAGCCCACAGTACGTGATCGTCATGGCAATACGGCGTTGCACTTGTCCTGCATTGCAGGTGAGAAACAATGCGTGCGCGCTCTGACAGAGAAGTTTGGCGCCTCCGAGATACACGAGGCACATCGCCAATACGGACACCGATCCAATGACAAGGCTGTCAGCTCTTTGAGCTATGCCCATCTACCTGCCGACCTGGAGATACGCAACTATGATGGTAAGTTACGAAAATATATATCGTTATTTCATATAGATATGTAACCGAAGGGGGTCGAAATTTGGTATATAAATAGTTAAGTATATTCATATCACTAACTCTGGTTAGTGTTCATATTAAGGAATCTCTTGAAAAATGAACTAGTTCACTCACTGAAAAACAAGTAGAAAAATATATATTATGAGCCAAATTGCAATAAATGCAGTAAAAATTATTGAAAAATATATTTAGATGTTTCCATATATACTATATAGTTTAATATTTTTGGCAAACGTGTCCGACAAATAAAAGAATTTGACTCGATGCCAACAAATTTGAATTTATCATATGGCTTTAAAATTTTGGCTGTCCCGCCAACGGCGAGACATTGTCTAAGACTATTTATATAGGACACCAAGTCTACAGATACAGCTAGACTATAGACATCTATATACATATGTGTCAGATATTTGTGTATATATACTATTTAAATATATGTATAGGCGTGCCAAAAATACATTTTGGCCTCTGCGCATTTTTGCGCCTGCAAATAAATTTCTCATTTACGTTTTTCACTTAGTTATTGATTGGCTCACAGCAATATATGTATATCTTTCATTCTATATGTATATGCTTGTATATTAATGTGATTTTCTGCTTGACGTCAGCAGGGTTTGGTATTGTTTATAATTTGCTTGTGTCTACAAAATCTTCCAAGCTTCAAGGAAACAAAACAAAATAGATATTAAATTCGCTTTCCAGCTCATTTCATTTGCAGCTCACACAGATACGATTATACAGTTGCGAAAAATAAAATAGCACCACTTGCAAACGCAAAGTTTAAGAAGTTCTCCTAGGTGCATTTATCAATGTATTGATCTAATTTTTTCTTGTATATAAGCAGAAAACAATTAATAATCGCAACAAGCAAGAATTATCCCAAAAATATTAATCGTTTTTATATAATTGAAAAAATTAGATCAATACATTGATAAATGCACCTAGGAGAACTTCTTAAACTTTGCGTTTGCAAGTGGTGCTATTTTATTTTTCGCAGCTGTATATACGTACATACATATGTATATATATAGCTGACGGCCTTATTTCCTTGATTGTTATTATTGATTTATTTGTATACAAATTAGTTTATATATAAACATACTGATTTTCAACAGGTGGGTGGGGTTCAAAGCAAAAAAGGTGTGCGCGAAATACGTCAATTAAAATTCGCCTTTGATTATATGTATTTATGCGCGAAAAGTTTCCCACTTAAAAAAATAACTACAAAATATTATAAAACAGATCTAAGCCGGAAGAAAGTAAAAGTCATCATAAGTATAGCCACATATAAAGACATACGTATGTATATATATATATATAAACACTTATTGTTCAGTCACAAGAGTTGAAGCTTGCGCAACTGTCGACACGTAAAAGGTTAATAAACTTGACTGAGATGTTGAGAGGCTACACTTTTATAACCTCCCCCTACACAGAAGCACACACATACACGCGCACACTCACCTACACTTTTAGCTGTATTTGCTTTAACCTTTCGTTTGTTTAATCGATTTTGTTTTACTTTGCATTGTACCCTTGCTAAAAATACGAAAATTGATCGGTTTCAAACATGTGGTGAACAAACATTTGGCAGCTACTTTTGACCAGACCAAACCGGTCTAAACATGCCTTCGCGCATAAATGAGAAACAGCTGCTGAACACTTAACTAGGAGTGTGTGTGTGTGTGCATGTGTGTGTCGGTGCGTATGTATTAGTAATACCCATCTATATGCTTAGCAGAGCAGACATTGCACATAATATTCAAACAAATAGCTATGGCTAGCTCTATGCAGACAAACAACAACAAAAATGGCTAAAATTAGAGGTGGAAGCAAAGGCTGTCGAACGACCCATAGTTGCCCTTTCTTAGCATTCAAGTCTACAAACATATATAGCGGTATAATATTGAATAAAAGTATTGAGAAGTTCCCTATGCTATACTGACTCATATCCTATGAATCTATAAAACTTTTGAATTTCCTAGTCTCCTCAAAATCTAAATTCCGTAAATTCCAAGTGAATCGTAGAAAAGCCCTTTTGGATCTTATCTTAAAGGTGTTTTCCGCATTGTATTTATATGACAATTTTCAATTAAGCATGAAAAACTTTTGCGGTTTTTTCTTAAACGATTGGTAAGGAATAGGATAGAGCATATTATCTAGTATTTCGCAGACGAAATGTCTGTCAAAATTAAGCTACTCGCAGCTATTTGATAGGGTATCAAAGAGCAAAGC